CATGACAGTACTTGTTAAATATATAAAATCTTTCCTGCAAATTTATAAGATTGTTATACCTATTAAACCCCTAATAATAGAAGCAGCGTATTAATATTTTGAACTTATTAAAGGTTTCCTATTTCATAATAGAGTACGTAAAGTAGCCGAGGTTTTATTACCAATACAAATAAAGGTTCAATTTAATATAAAAGCTAATATAAAGGATAACTACTATTATTATATAGAGTGTCACAAGTTGGCATTGGCTACATAGTGTGCATTCCAAGTTCTGCCTTGCAAGCAGAACATCGTTCTATCTTTTGTAGGTTTGGCCGTCTGAGCATATGTACCCCAGCCTGTCATATGGAGTTTGTTAACGTAGCAAAAGACCTAGTGCTTATTGTAGGAATAAGGATTTTGGCCGCAATTTTATAATATTATCCGCTGTTTATTAGTCCAAGTCACCTACTATTCAACTATATTACGGAAAAGAATTTAGAAATAGTTATAAGATAATTGTAAGGTTATATTGAATTTAAAATGAAAGGTAATTATTAAATAAAAGTTTGAATAGTACTAAAGAATTGTTATTCATTGCATTAGGTTTGTACTATTATAAGTTTGATAGCTTGTATAGTATGTTATTTTCTAAATCTATATAATAAGTTAAATAACTTCTTAAACAATGAAAAGAGAGGATTTTTACTATCAAGCAAAGTTTACCTTACTTTAGTAGCTTTAAAGAGCTCGTCGTCTACAAGGCTAAAGATTTGAGTAGGGAATTTAGTAAGGAATTCCCTAATATATTACTAAAAGATTGTATAATTAAGGCGCTAATACTCTTTTTTAATATCTTTAAATTTAATATAACTGTTATTTATTTCTTCTATTATTTAAGAATCAATATTAATTATGGTAGCGTATAAGGTAATTAATGTAGATTAGTTATAAATATAATAAAGTAATATGAAGCAATCAGAATTTAATTAATTTTATATAGTAAAACCTATCCTTCTCTAAGCAAATAATATTTACACAAGAGTACGTATTTGAGTAGCCTTGGATAGCCTTAGTATATTATACATATATATGTAGGCCGGGAAAAATATGATGCATTACACCGCTAGAGAGATAAACAAATTTATTTCTTTGGCACCACCGTGACAACCAACACCGTGTGATCCCGGGATTGTCACTGTCACGTTACCAAATCGCTCGATCCCGAGCATCCATGAATCCATCCGTCTACCAAGCTTTGTCTTTGCTGTGCTCCTCGTGATTTTCCCCTTGTGCCTATCTGTCTCAGCACCAACAGCCACTTTCCCATCCCTTTTATTATGCATAATGGCGATTCCCCCTATCGTTGGGCAACAACAAGGGATCAAGAGTCAAAATTCCAAGGATACTGCCTCCCAACTCAGGGGTAAATGGGTTCGGAAGCTTGATGCGGCTATGTAGGTCTGGTATGTAGGTCCCGGGCAGGCCAGTGATTTTTGTGAGGTCTACTTGCGAGATACACACAAGCGGGAACATCTGGCTGGCAGCTCCGGGCCCTGGGTTTGACTGCGTCTATCCCTGCCTTTGTCCGTCTCCCTTCGTGCATATTCACCTACTTGTAACTGTGCGATTTCTGAATCTGAGGGTAGGTAACCAAACATCCTGTCTTCCGAGCAACGGAACCCTGCATTGATAACATGTGTGGCCTGCCCCTCCATTATCAGGGGTCCTACGTGTGCTGTGCAGAAGGAGCTTGATGGTCACGCCAAGGTAGCAAGCAGGCGAAGCTTCCCCAATCCCACTATCACTAGAGAGGTGTCAGTATAGAAAAGACGGAAATTGACGATATTTACGGGATGAGATACCGCATTGTCAAGTGTGTCCGCTTTTGGTCTGTATGATAACGGTGCATGTAGCCCCTACGGGTCTCGTGCCTGACTTTGGAGGCGGCCGAGCCTGCTGAAGCTGCCGACTGCGTATCATCCACACCGATCAACGGTCACCAGGGTCGCAAGGAGATATACAGTAACGCTGAGATCCTTGCCCTGCCGCCGCTGACGTCATCCCATCTTCTTTCCCAACATTGGCCTTTTGCGCCAGCTGTAGCGTCGTTGTCGGCTGCCGTGGATGGGGAGCGGAGGGGACGGAGCGCGACACGCTAGCCGCATGCTTCTTTGAGCCCCAAGTCGTCTTGACAGCAAGGTCTGGGATACCCTTGGCGACTGCAATAGGGGCTCTTGGACTATCTACATTCAAGGTAACTTGAAATGTGATATTGTACCAGATGGGCCCAATACAGGAATTGCACTATGCTGAACGGGCTTTCCCTCCGAAATTTCAAGCTGCCGCAGCCTAGTTTCGTTGGAAGCTATCCCTGCACGCGTGAAGCGTGCATTGGCACCTAAACAAGGCGTTGTCGAGGAGATGCTGACTCGGTTTGGAAATGTCCATGATGATCGTCCAACACCCTGTCAACCATGGCCGTCCAGGCGGTGCCATGTCAGTTGTGATATTGGGGGGGTTGAACTGGGGGGAGGGCACGGAGGTGATCCGGATTCCAGCAAAAAAGAGATACCGACTCGCATCTCTGGTTTCCTGGCGATACCCAAAGCCGCAAGCCAGGAGCCAATCAATCGGGCATCCCACGGGAGATCATACAACTACCTTCCCCCGGGCGCCGGGCCCCCGTGCGTGCGTGCGTGCGTGCGTGTGTCTGCTACCAAGGCCACAGTATTCTGAGGTGCTACAGGCGGGTTGGCCTTGCGGTCTCGTGTTCCTGATGTTCCTGATCTGCTCCTCCCCTAGACGCTCCCCACGATGATGTGCAAATCAAAGCCACACCCATCCGTGTCTCCGGAGCCGATACAGTGAGTTAGCAATATACCAGTGCCAGTGCGAAAAATGCGATTTCCCTTACCCGTGGAGCTGTCTTTTGCAACTCAACCAGAAAGAGGTTCTTCTTCGATTTCGATCCCATCCCCAACAGCCATCCAACCCGAACAAGTTCCGTATCCCACCCACATTGGACGGCCTCCTCAACTCCAACTCCAAGGACCCTGGAATGTGGGCGGAACATACGTACTATCTGGGAAATAGTACCTGGCTGGTATCCATATGGCGCTGCCGTGGGAGATGAAGAGGACCACGTCCACAGGGCCCTACTAACGATTGCCGCGCCGGAGAGGATAAACGGTCGTGGGGAAGACGTAGCAAGAATTTCGTCATCGTTCCCAGTTCGTATATCCTGGGGCAACGTATAATTTTGCAGTACGAGGCTAGGCTGAATAGGTCTCTAGGGCGACGCATGCCGCCGGGATATCAGCCAGGGGTTGAAGACTAGAGTATTGGAGGAATACTGTAGGCGTAAGCGGGGTGGGCAAGCTTTTTTTTTTTTTTTTTTTTTTTTTTCAAAGGTTGGCTGTTGTCAGAAACGGGAATAAAAGCGTAATGATTATGTTACGGCACCCAACTGTGACAAGAGCACTCCATTACCGCCGGGAAGACCCTCACTCTGTTAGTACTTGGAGTTGACATGATCAATTACACAAAAACAAAACAGACAGTCATCGTTCCTTTTTTTCTGCATATTTCCAAACGCAGCCTTGAGTGTGATGTCTGTATTCGCACAAAGCCCTGCAAAATAGCGCTGCTGCGTGTAATGTAGACATGCCTCCGTGCTACTTGGGACTGTACGCTTCCAGTCCCTTTCTACCGGGGTCATCACTCAATATTTCTTGACCTGGGTACTCGCGTCGTTTTTTCGCCCAGGTCATCGACCGTCTCGCAAGCCAAGGTGCTGCTAGGAAAAGCGACGAGTGGAGAGACAGGCGATGATGGTCGATGCGATGGACCGGCGATGCGATGCCTGGACGATGGCCGGACAGTGCCAACTTCTTGCCCTGAAGACGGTGGTTTAGCGGGATGCGCCCTCGTACTGTGCTACCCATCAGCGCTGGAGCACTCAGTGGAGGGAGATGGGAGGTACCTGTCCGGTACCTGCCCGAATACCTGACTTTTCACGGTCTGAGGAACACACTGGAAGGTACCGTCGCTCGTAGCTGCCCACTTGGCAGGGATCTTCACGCCTGGCGGCTGCTCAACCTGCAGCCCCTCGCACCCCTCGCGACGCTCGCTGGCCGTCCGCCAAAGGAAACAATAGCACAATCTAGGAAACACCCCCCTGCGCGATGGACTGCCAAGTGGGTTCCCAGGATGCAGGACGGATTGAGAATGGGGTTTGAGCGCGCCCGGTCACTTTCCCATGTCGGATGTCCCGCCAGCCCGCCTGAGCGACCGACCGAGCAGCTCATCGTGCCTCCCTTTATTAACTCCCGTTGTCCCCTGCCTTCCGTGCCTTCCTTCGCTTCATGAAAAAGGGTTTATTATCCAGCCTCTCCTCCTCTTTATTCCTGCCTTCTTCACCTTCCGCTCGCTACAGTACCCCATTACAAAGAATTCACGTATCCTCACCGTCCGTCTCATCCGTCCACAGACGCCGCCGACTTCTCCGCCCCATCCCCTCAGGAGGTATACAGTTACCCAATCCAGTCAACAACAACAACAACAACACACAAGACATGCGATATAACAGACATCGGTCCTAGCTTTACCGACCAACTGCACCAACCATCCATTACCAGGGAAACCATCTGTGGTCAGAGCTTTGAGCTTTTTTTGCCCAACATTCGGCAACCGACAGAGAAGAGTTTTCAGCGCGGGCTTTCTTACCTAAGCGTTTAGCTTCATTGCACCGCCTTTCCAGTAAGCCTCACGGAAGCAAACCAAACACCGACCCGAAATCTGCTAGGGTCATTTCGAAGTTGCGTGCTGCGCCCGCTTTCGGCTAGAGCACTATTTTCCCCATCAGCTTATAACTGTTTGGTCTCCTGCGATCCATCCGGCTCTTTTCCACCGACGTCGATCCTCCGCCTTCCGCCGAGTCGACATTATTGGGCCGTCTCCGCCCCATCTTTATCCTCGTCATCCGACTTTTTGCTTTGCACGCTACCACCACCGCCATCATGTTCGCCAGGGACGCCAATGGACACACTGTCCAGCTCCTCAACGATGATGAGCCTCAAAAAGCCCCCCAGGTCCAATACCAGCCGATGCCTTACCGTGCGCCATCCAGCTTTGGACAACCTTATCATCCCACCTTGACCAGGAGTCTCTCGTCGTCGCCAAACACCCCAGAGCTGCTTCGATCCGACTCCTATGACTCTCAGATGAGCAACGAGCCCATCTCTCCCATGACCCCCATCTATGACTATAGCCGGGGATACCCTATCGATACTCGGCACTATGAGGACCACTCGGACGCACACAGCTACATCGGTGCCAAGAGGCCGCGCACCATGAGCGACAGCAGATCCATGTCTTATGAGGACGATGCCGCGAGCCCGGCTGCCACCGAAAGGACCGGCAAGAGGTATCCGTGCAGGTATCGGGACAGCCACGGCTGCGAGAAGACTTTCACCACGTCTGGCCACGCCTCGAGGCATTCCAAGATCCACACTGCCGAAAAGGCGGTCCCCTGCTCCTTCCAAGGTTGCACCAAGAAGTTCACACGGGCCGACAACATGAAGCAGCATTTGGAAACACACTACAAGGACAAGTCGCGCTCATCTACCCGGCCATCTCTGGCTGGCGAGCGCAAGTCTTCCTCCTCCGGAAAGTCCTCCCGATCCAAGTCAACAACTTCAGTAACGACCGTCGCCAGTGCCGCTAGCCCAGCCGCACTACCACTCACACCTGGGGTTGGCAGTGCCTGGGACATGCGTGGACTCAACCTCCCTCTTCTGAGCCCTTCGATCGGCGTGCCAACACCGAGTAGCGGGCTGGACGCTCTAGCTATGGCAGTCGCCTGCCAAGAAGGGTCTTCTTAGTCAAGTCTGCATCTTAATATCACCCTGTTCTTCTTTTAGCTCTGCGTCGGTGTTTCTCGGAGGATTGAGCATCGTGTGTCTCGCCACTGCCAGCTGACAGGCGTGTTTGATGTCACACATGACGTTCCCGCTGCGCGCGATACTTTTTTGACGCGGGTTCTCACATTTCCGTTGTCTTGGATCTTATGGGGAATGGTACAAAACAACCCTTATTTTATGCTCTTGTGTTGCCGCAGCATGCACTGTCATATTGGGGCCGGTACCTGTCGAAAAGCTTTTCTGTCTGGGATCATACACTTACTATCTAGAGGTCACGTACACCATGGGGGAGACCTTTTTTTATTTCTTGCATTCAATCATCAACATGAACTGGGACTGGGACTGGGAAACACGGGAAACGGTCAGAGGCATATTTGTTTAGGGTACGGCGCAATGTGGGGGCGATTTGTTTTCTTTTTCTTGTCATCTATCCGAAAACAAACCGGTTGGGATGGTGGCCGTGGTGTATGGAGTGAGTGGCTTGGTGTTTTACTGTTCAGGTTCTTGATCCATTCTAGGGGTTGCTTGGCAATGATATCCTCTTCTTGGTGATACAATACACACGACCGTCTTATATAGTGCAAAGGCCGATATCAAACTTTACGAATTGTCCATATACACACTGCTTCTTTTGTCATCTCATCGTAGAAAGATGCTGGTATGCAGACATCCGATGAGACTTCTGGCTACAGGGGACATATTCAAAAAGCGTAGCATTGTAGCACACAGACAGCGGGAAAAAAAAACCCCCAAAAAAAACCGCGGTCAAAGCCAAAATGACGCGGGATTGATCATTAATGAGCCAACACATCGTGAACATCTCTCTCTCCCTACAGCAAGGCTCACGCTAAAAAGTGCGGTTAGTGTCATAGTGTCTTCTGCCCGCAGAATACATACAAAGCTCCCTACACACTAACAATACGTTAGTGCACGGTATGTGCGTCCACCGCAGCGTCTGCGAAATTAATTGTTAGGCCTGACATTTATTTGCACTTTTCTCTTAAGCATCCCAGGATCCAACCTTTCATTGCTCGGGGAAGGGTGGGCAGCTTGCCTGTCCCCCGAACACTCGTGCCGCATGTAGTAGTCTTTTCTCAACAACAACCTCGGGAAAACTGCTACTGAACTAACCAGTTTCTGAAATGATGTCTACCAAGGTCATAATATATAGGAAATGACGCAGGAAGGATGTTAATGTAGAGATAAGCTGCCCTTCAACCCTTTTCGCGTATAAGACGGCGACCGTGCATCAAAGTATGGAGGGATGTGTGTCGTCGTTTTCCCGTCTGTCGCTCGTAAAGGGTCCTGCGCCCACACCACACTAGTAGTTGCACAGATGTATGAGGTGGGTACTTCCTCCCGGACCGGAGCTGGTTCTTAGGTAAACATGCCTCGCAGAGGATAGGACGCAGGTAAGTAAGTGCACTAGGCGTTTCGTCTCGTTTTGTTTCGTCTGAACCTTCTTTTTCCACAAAAAAACGGATCTCGGAGCACGTGCGGTTAATGCCGGCATCTGTGCTTGCTTGCCGGCATGCTTAAGCTTGTCCAAACGATCTGATGTCAAAAAACCAGTCTCTCTCTCTTCCAACCGCGTCACTGTTTACCACCCTCGACTTGAACTTCGCCTTTCATCGCCAAAACTCGCCATCCTCCGCACACGCCCTCGCCATCTCGAACTGCTCATCAGTCTTGCACACCAAGACCCTATGACCTCCCTTTTTGGTTTGTGGAGCAATCTCAATAACAGCATGATCATCATCCAGCTCCTGTCCCACCCTCGTCTCATTCGCCTCCTTATCGACCAGTCCAAACCCGAGACAGCCCACTTGCTCGACGACAGCCGCCCTTAGTCGATCGCTCTTCTCGCCGATCCCGCCAGCAAACACAAGCGCATCGACTTGGCCGCCGAGAGAGACGTAGTAGGAGCCGATGAAGCCGCAAATGCGGTCGACAAAGAGATTGAAGGCTAGACGCATTTTGGCGACTTCTTCTCGTGACAAGTTTTGGGAAGAAGCAGAGGGGTCCAAGGCGGCGGTAATGGTGCCAAAGTTGGTGGTGCCTGTTAGGGCTTTCCAGCCGGATTCCTTGTTGAGGATCTCTTCGGCGCGGGAGATGTGCAGTTCCTTTGTGGAAGCCGGGGAGAGCTTGCCTACGTCACTGGCATAGTGGAAGACGAGACTGAAGAGGGGAAAGAAGGGAGGTAGAGTTTAGTATGCATGTGACATGGAGGTTATGGAGAAAGAAAGAAGGAAACTAACCTAGGATCGACACTCCCGCTTCTTGTCGCGCCTGGAAGTCCAGCTAGGGGAGTCAGTCCCATGCTAGTATCCAGGCTCTTTCCGTCCTTGATGGCACACGCGCTGGCTCCGGAGCCGAGATGGAGAGCAATGATGTTGACGTCTTCGACCTTCTTCCCCAGAAACTCGGCGGTGGCGCGGGTGATGAAGGCATAGCTGATACCGTGGAAGCCGTACTTCCTCAGGTGGTTGCTCCGCGCGATGTCCTGGTTGATGGGGTACGTCCGGATGTGCTCGGGGATGGTGTGGTGGAACTGGCTGTCGAAGCAGGCGATGTTGAGGGTCGTCTTGGGCAGATCGCCCATGCAGCGGTGGACGATGACGAGGGATGTAGAGTTGTGCAACGGCGCCAGGTCATTGAGCTTCTCGAGGTTGTGGTAGGTCTCGTCCGAGATCAGTTTTGGGCGGACAAAGTCGCCGCCGTGGACGATGCGGTGGCAGACGTAGGCGATATCCTCCTTGCTGCTGATCTCGGGCACGCCGTCGTCGTCGATCAAGGTCTTGAGAAGGATGTCAAAGGCGTCTGCCTGGGTAGACACCTTTTGGTCTTTGACTTCTTCGTCCTTAATCACCTTCTCACCGTGCCGTGTATACCGAAGGGTGGCGGGTGGTGCGGTCAGGCCGCTTATTTGGGCCTCGGCAAGCTGGATGGGTGCTTGGCCGAAGAGGGCGCTGTAGGCTGAGATCTTGACGGAAGAGGACCCAGCATTGACTGAGAGGACAACCTTCTTCATCTTGGCTGAGGTACTCTGGAGGCTGTTAAGCATGGGACGGTGAATATCATCGACGTCCTTCATAATGGGCTACTTGGATGATGCAGAGCCTGCTGCCTTTTCTAGTTTCTAGGTGCTTGATGAGGTCGTTGTGGTGTCGCCAAGGAAGAGGGACACGTGAGGATGGTGAGACGGGTTGAGAGACATGGTGACAATAGGATTAGCCCGGTGAGTGAGGATGGCCTCTTATTTCAGCCTTTATTTGAGAGCTGAAGAGCCCTCCCTGGCGGCCCGTCTTCCTTGTCTGCCGGACCTCGACGACATGTCATAGTGCTTGGCTCGGAAGTCTAGATAGAGGAAAGATTGACGGCCCGCTACACCAGCTGCCCCGGCCTAACAAGTCATGATCTTTGGCTTCTCTGGCCTTCTCCATGATTGGATGAAGGTGGCATAAAGGGGCCGACAGATCGCTGTTGGGCACCTTATGCTGAACTATCAGACGAGGGGTATGAAGGGCCGGGGTTGGGTGTGGTGGGGTAAGTAAAGTGGTCTGATAGCTGACCGTCTTCTGTCTGAAAGTTGCATGACGTCGACGGGCTTGGCCGTGAGTTTTGGAGACTCATGCGGAGAAAGTGGAGAATTCTGTGCCGTTCCCCGCACCAAATTTCTGGTTGACATCAGCCAAATCAGGGGTCAGTGCTTCTGTTAGTGCAGCCCTACCCGCCCAGGCGGTTCGTCTCATTGCTTTATTTTAGTTTAGCTCCACCTCACCCCCAGGCTTTGACTTTTGACATGAGATGCTTTTACCTTTTTAAGCTTATTATCAAATTATCCTGCAATCCACGAGACAATCATTTTCTTCGATCCGGTAACTGTACCAACTCGGCAGTATATAGTCTGTCATGCCCAAATGTATGCGGTAGAGGAGGAGCTCTCACGAAACCAACAGCTCAAGCACCTAACCAACAAACGTCTTTATCAGTCTCTCCCTTGCACTCGCCTTGGACTAAGCAGCACATACCACTCAGGAGCTCTTTTCGGAGTACCCCGCTCTTCTTGGATACTCCCCTTACATGGCGGCGATTAAGGGTTGTGTGGGTCGTTGTCCGGTGGGGGCACTGACAGGTTGGGCTTCGACGGGCTGTCGACATCTACTACATAGTACTGTGTTGCACAACTTCAACTGGTCATCTGGGGTCTAGAAGGTGGGACGTGGTAAGCTGTCTTGGCTCACATGCCGTGATACAATGTTGAATATCTTACCACCTAATAACATACTCATAAGTCGACAGGAGACAATCAGTAGACTTCACAGACCGATTTCCGCCTCGGAAGTTATGAATTCGGTGCATTTGTCTCGACTATCTTATTTCAAGACTCAGAAAGCACCAGTAGTGAGCGACTTGTAAGCGTCTCGTAAAGTCGCGCCGGGTGAGTGGTAGATTCCCCGGTTTGATGGTCCAAAGGTCTAATGGTGCTGCCTGGCCCGGTCATAGATGAAGACCACTACTGACTATCTGTTGGTAGAAGCAGGATTTAGTATGCTGTTCAGTCCCTTCCCTTGTCCAAGAGATGATATAGGAGTACGTGCCTACGGAATTCCTTGGCTCCTTTGACAGGAACAATTCAGGGTTGGGGTGCAATGCTCGTCACGGAATGGGCTGGTGATAAACCCTAACCCTAAAATGGAGTGTACGACAGCCACTCCACTGATGTGTTCAAACCCTCCACATCTGCAAGTGCGGACAGGCCGCCGCACGATCCAACTGGGCAAACCCCGTTCAAGCCCGTCCAAAGCCCGTCCCACTGAATGTCTGTCCGGGGATAAGCACTTCAACGTCTGTCGCTCGGTTCGTTGCTTGACTTTATTGGGTGTCACTCTCACGGCTACCACGAGCATCGCGCTACCAGACGACAACGCACTTCGCAATCGGCATGTCCATTGAAATTCCAGCCGAGTTTGATTACAAGCTATCAATTCCTTGCATGGTTATGCCATTATGACGGGCAAACGATTCACAGAGGACCAGAGGGTCCTTCTCGAAAGGATGCTGACTCTCAAGGACAAACTGAGCAACCATGACATCGCCTTTATTCTGGGCTTTGATGAGCGTACCATTCGGCGAAGAAGATATGAATTTGATGCCAACGGCAAGATCGCACCACCACCCGATGTCAGCAAGAATGCCGAGAAACTTAAGGCCGAAAACCTCGAGGTGCGTAATGTCTCTCGTCCGAGAGAGTGTGCTAGCTATCCTCTGCTACCATTGTAGGGTTGCCTTAAGAAACATGGGCTTGTCAAGCTAACATTTGCAAACTCTTCAAAACAGAAACTTGTCGAGTGGCTCAAGGACAATGACGATGCATTGATAGAGGACATGCAAAAGTTCCTCAAGGAGGCCTGCAACTGCAACGTCAGCAAGGCCACTATCAGCAGACAGCTGAATAAAGCTACCAAAGAGAACAGGCAGCTGGGCCGCGTCAAGCGTCTGAAGGCCCGGGCCAAGAGGGCGGCCGAGGGCCGTAACTTTGACTTCACCACTGCTCGTTCCACTTCGCGGAGTGTGACTGCCAGCGTGGATAGAGATAGCACCGTCGGTGAATTGCAATCACAAGAAGAGAAACGGCAAGGACAACAGCAACAGGATCAGCAACAGCCACAACAAGGATCAGGGCATCTCCAACAACAACAACAACAACAACAACAACAACAACAACAACAACAACAACAACAACAACAACAACAACAACAACAACAACAACAACAACAACAACAACAACAACAACAACAACAACAACACGTAACCATACCTCTAATTTCAGACAACATGAACCCCAACCACCGCCCTGGCGACGATCCATCAACGGAGAAACAAAAAGGGCGGGTAGCCAGGTCCAGGTATCCTCCTTTGTGTGAATGGGCGATGTTTGCTAACTGTCCATGTCGCCAACCCTTCCCCTCGTCATCTATCTATATTGGCATCATGCATGTTTCCGGCCGTCGGCTTCCCGATGAGCAAATGTTTCGTCGGCGCGATGCGCTACGGCTCCGGCGATGTGCGGTACCTACCTACCCTACATTGCGGCATCTTTCCTAGCACCGTGTTATCACACACCGGTAGGTATGAAGAGGTAGATACAAAACGCAAGTAATCACAGCTACCCGAAGGCCATCATCGATCACCGCCGCACACACAAAGTATGTACAAGATTGACGTCCGTCAACAAATGAAATCACGAGACCAATGGCGGGATTTCAGGGGCATGGTTTGGTGCCGTATCACACTCACACGCATGTCTTCAATTGTGAGGAGACGTGACGCTAGGTAGGTAGGGTATTAACGGGGAACTGCATCGCGCGGCTTTTTTTTTTTTTTTTTTCGCCATTAATCACATCACTCAATCCGAACGTTCCTTCCATCTTTCCTCGAAATTTCGCACCGCTTTCTGCGCTTTAGTAGGTTCCTTCCCACATTGACACATTAGCAAAAGGTACTTACTACAATGCCTCTTTCTTTGCTTTCCTCTTTCACTCTGTTGTCCAAACCGGCGAAGAGAAATCGACACCTGACCGCCCGCACAGCTTCGAAGGCTTTGACTGCTTTCAGTCACCGATGCTAAATGGCTGGAAATTAAAGCTATCTACATGTAACTGTTTGTGTATGTGAAGTATGATATGGAGAACAATGTGCATTTCCAGGGGAACGCTTTTCTTAGTCCCCAAACTTTCCATATTTGTTTCGTGGTGCGGAATACTGTGCAGGTCAGCAAAGAAAACATTTGTTGCCTAACCTGATGTTTATTTCTGTCGAGTATCGCTCGGTACAGTATTGTCACTGTTCAGATGACGAGGCAACGGCTCACCGCAGGAATCATGACAGTCGTTCGGGGTCACTGTCTTTTCGAAATAGAACAAACATACATGACATGACATGATACCAGAGACACTCGTTTCCTACTGCACGTACATGAGTCTACATATTGGAATGCCTAAGGCAGCCCGATATGCCAGCATTGAGGTCAGAAGGGAAATATGCAAGAAATCCAAAGCTATAGATTATAATGTGTACCAAGGAGCGTCTTCGACAATCGAGAGAAAATATATAGAATAAAGATCACTGTAGGGGTACGAGAAGATCGTAGGATGATATTGATATGGGCCTCGGTACAGGTATGGTGAAGCTTTCTGTCTCTGCGCCAACTCTTCAGATACCTACCTACCTCGTGATAACACACCCATTTGACTTCCAACAAGCTTCGGAGGGAGGATTTGACAGACACAGTTCAGGTCATGAAGTTTCCTCTTGCCTGCTCGCTGGGGGACTGTGGTGGCTTATTGATAACTTACCTCCTCTACCTACATGTACCTGAGCCATGTATTTCACACAGTAGCAATCGGTTCTTTTTGTCCTTATTTTTTGCGTTTTCTACCAACCAGCCCACCCATCTAGCCATCCCTTCCTCCCCCCGTGAGCGAGGCGGAACTGTTGGATGACGCGCGCGTGGAATCCATGTTTCTTTTTGAGGCTTCACGACATGTGGTTTGTACGAAGTAATACGTGTGTCTTGGGAAAGTGTGTTCATTGATACGTGCGTTTTCGGATATGTTTTGATTGCTTTTCTGTAAGCAAGGTAAGTATGTATCTATGTCTGTCTTTTTGTCGGCGGTATCAAGGCGAGAGAAGCAAGCAGTTCATTGTGGCGCGTTGCCTACAGAGAGACCTAGAGTGGGAGAGAGATCCATACGATGATACATTACTGTTTGGTTTGTTGGTGACGACTGACAACGGAACTGACGGAGGAATGGTCGCCGATGAGTGGTGTATGTTACGTACACTACAGAGATGTTTAAAACGGTGTTATGAACAAGGGTTATCATGAACGGTTCAGTTCGTTTCGTTCAGCCAAGGCTTGATATGATTTGTTTGAAAGGTCATTTACACCAAACTTCAGTATCTCTTTCTCGTCCCTTCCTTTTCCCAAACCACCCACCCACCCACCTGCCATCTTGGCCCAGCATAATCCCGGCGGTATGTGGGCGTAGGTAGGTACGCCCCAAGAGATTGGGGAAAGTGAAAGGGGGAAGGAACCGTTCGGAGCAGGCAGGCAGGGGGGAAACTTGGGCTAGTGAAGGTTTAGGTAGCATCGTGCCTTCTTCCTGGCATGCCCATCCTCTTATCCGTCCATCTACCCAGGTCTCTCCAGGCCACCCACCTCCAAAATCCCCTGGAGATGATGCACCACCACCACGATCACCACCACCACAAGCAGTGGCGGGCAGCAGACAGGCAAGCAGCCTCAGGGCTGCCAGGGCGACATGAACCTCCAACCTTGTCCTTGTCTCCACATCCGCCAGGTTGGGGGAGGTGGCCTTGAAGACAAGGGTGTTTGTTCGCTTTATTTGAACCACAGTTCATCAAAAGGTTATCCAAGATGCTGGTATAACGTAAGAATGGGACTCTTCTTTACGTCTTCTGTGGTCAAATTACTCCCAGTCTTTTCTTTTTTGAATCATGAAACTGCTTGCTGCCTGTTGGAATGCGATCGAGCTTAGTGTACGTACGATGCTGTAGGTAGTGCTCTACACTGCAACTCGTTCGGCCAACCTCCTGTTCGAGGTCCAATCGCCGACGAAATTACGAAACGCATTTACGACGGAAGAAAAAAGGTGACAGCAGAGAAATCGACCGCCTGACCAGCCGCGCCGTTCGAACTGTCGGTCAAACCAGGCCAAACTCAAACCAAGCTATTGCTGCAGGATCACGGGTCTCGGAGAGTGGTGACCTCGGCCAAAAGTGTTATGAAACTAATGTCATGTTCTTTTGGACGTTCAACCGAAACGTAGTATGGTCGCGCGGTTCCGTGGTCTTCTTGTCCACTGGCATGAGGTTTTAACGGTCGCCTCCGTGTCATCGCCGATGGTCGATGATGGAGACATCCAGTCAAGAGTAATCTAGATGGCGTGAGCGGGCGATGGGAGGGCTACAAAAGCCTATCTCCTACTGAAAAAAAAAACAAAAAAACAACAACAAAAAAACAGAAGCTATCGTTATTTCCTAAAACACTATGAAATGTCAGCCATCTCTAGACCGGCGCCTGTGCCAGAACGCTGGCCGTTTCTCCGACCAGATCGGTTTTACTATCTGACGCCTTACTATATTGGTTGTCGGTACGGAGTTGAGTGACAGATATGGGAAAGACCATCATTAGGCCGGTTGATGCCCCGAGTCCCATCTCGATGAGGAAAGGCGCGAATAAGGCGTAGATGGCTTGTGTTTGGTGTGTGCAAGCAAGACTGATGACTACCGATTCTCGCAGTACACTAGTATACTACGTGCTGTCGGAACATTCGAGATACCATTAGTAGTTCACGCAGTTGAACTAACACATTGACTAAAGCAATCTGAGGGCCTGTGATATCAGTAAGCAGCTGAGATACACCCATAAAGGGTAGGTAGATACCCCTGATATCCATAACTTACTCGATGAATATCTGGTTCGCAAAGGATCATACCCAGCGGTGGTACGTGAAAGTGGTGGGATATGTGGGATAAAACCAGCCAGCCAGGATGGCAGCAGGTTGCAGGCATTCAGTTGCATGTTCCTAGCGACCGAGAGCCTCCACAAGATCGATATCTGGTGGTCGGACGTCAACTTTGGCTTCGATCGGGCCTGGGGTGTTTGCTTATCCGAACTGTTCTTTTGCTCGTGACGAAATACAGATATGGAGCCAGACATGGAGGAGCCTTTCCGGAGATGAAGTCAAAGCACCTCGACGAGCTTCGTTCTCTGGGTGAAGGACTGCGTGCACGGGAAATTATCTCGTACCCACTCGTGATTAATATATCCTGTGCGAAATGCAGTCAAAATGGGGGCCAAACCGCCGCCTTGACGGGCAACTACTTCGGAGCGATGGTTACGTGATAGCATAATGGACTCATTCGGTTCCTGGATCGGTGTTGGTCGAATCGAGCGGCCGACCACACCTCGCTCAACCACCAAAATATTCTCCTTCTGTTGCAGCTACTGAGAAAGCGCGTTTTTGTACCCAGCGGAAATATTTGCTGTATACAGCACATGAGCTTTCGATGGCTGAGGAGCACCCCTATCCAAGGCATGTTTTTGTATCTTGGAGACTTATTGACGTTGGAAGTCTCTCGGGCGACCCGCTTGATTGGATGGCCAATGCAGAGCCGTTTCCCCTTATGCATGTGCTGACGACTCAATACTACGCTGTAAAATTGTACGGATTGTCAAAAGTGATGCGGTGAACCTCGAGTTGTCGGTGCGAAACACAGCGCTGCATCCTTCGAGAATGTGGCTGAAAGGGGTTCTCAACCTCGTGAAGGGTATGTGTCCGCGGAGAAGAGAAAAGCTGACAATGTGTTGGTCAGTGCTCCTATTCACGTCCATATGGCGTGTTATGTCGAGTTGGTCTCTGCCTTATTTTCCTCTTTGTCTTGTTGCTACTGAGTGGTTAGTTCTAGTACCTATCAGGGTATTCCCATGGGGTACAGAGATCTCTTGACCAGGCTCTCGGGTACCGTTACCCTACAAGCCGCCATTCGACTATTCTTCGGACAGTTGGCCACTGAGAGCCGGCCCATCAAGTTGTTAAAAACCCCTGAGGCAGTAAGCTCTCGGAGGGAAACAAGGGACATTGCAGCAAGGATGGCGGGAAGGCTAGCTGGGCTCTGGGTTCTTGCCTGGTCTGCCTGGGTCGGCTGGACTGGCTGGGCTGGGGTCAAGCCTTCAAGGACATGGAACTGTTGCGGGATCTAGCGATGTCCGTCTGCCATGCAAGAAGACATCTAGGTACCGTAGCAGAAAGCAGGTCTGTATGTCGGCGGCAGAAGGCATTGCAATGTTCCATGAGGCGCCTTGTAGACGTTCAAGACCAACAGATCGTAGGACGGCACGCGAAGCCCTGGCCTTTCCGCCGAGTAGAGTACCTCGAAGAGCATCTTGGGGGCACTACTCTGTCGCCATTCATTTCGGGGGACCTGCCCAACAAGCCGGAATGATGTCAGCTTACCTGGCACCGAGTGTAGCGAGTACCGGCGGACGCAATGCTGGGACTATTCCAGCACCCAAAGGA